AAAAAATAAGGAAGGGGGAAGTGAGAGGGTGGATGATGTGTAAAGAAAAACAAAAAAAAAGGAATTTTTTTTTATTTTTTATTTTTTGGAGAGGGAAGGGGAGCAAAATCGGTGGCGGTATCGGCGGGAATAATGGCGGGAATCAGATTTTATTTGTTTTTTACATACACGAACCCCCCCCCCTCCCCCAAAAAAAAATTAAATAAATAAAAACTAAAAAAAAAAAGAAATCTGACATTTTATTTATTTATTTATTTTAATAATGTTACGTAATAATAAATCTCCCACTCCCCCGTCACCCCCCTAAATATACATACACAACCCCGCGTGGTAAAATAGAATCGGGAGAAAAAACCTATGCCGAAAAAAAAAAAAAAAAATGAAAAGAATCATGTCGCTCGTTTCCACCTTCCTTTTCCATTTTTTTCCCACCTAAATCATTCATTCATTTTCGTCAAAAACCACGTCAGTGGTTTTTATATAATAAATTTTGTCTTCTTCCACGTGACAATTAAACATTTTCGTTTTTTTTTTTGGAAAAAACATACACACACACATAAATTTTCTAATAATTAACCTAACTCACATAACCCTACCTTGTTAAAAATTTTTTCTTTTTAACAATATGATTTGAACACAGTAATTGAATCATGCATTTTTTGCCTTTCTTATATGTGTCATTGAAAATATAAAATCTTAATCATCATCATCATCATCATCATCATCATTAGTAGTGGTAGTAATATTTCATACAAGTTAAAATTATTATTACCCTGTTGAAAAAGAATTTTCTTTTAAATATCTGACACTGACAAAACTATTCGCTTTTAAAAAGTAATTTTTTAAATCCTTCCTCTCGATACACTTCATGATGCTGATGATGGTGGTGGTGGTGATTACATTGGTGGTGACATTGTATGTACAAGAAAGTGTTGTGATTATTATTATTTAAATGAGAAAAAGTGTTTGTTCCATTCATTCGACAATCATTCATAACAATTATTCGATACTTTCGAGAGAGAGAGAGAGAGGGGAGAGGTTTTAATTCAAGTGTTACTCATTTCCCTTTGCTATCACTTATTCATTTCAACTATTCGATACTGTATTGATTGAATATTATTATTATTATTATTTAATACTCGACAAAGAATTTTAATTGAAATTGTTTGTTGTCATGTTTAGAGTTAATATTTGGGGACATTTAATAGAAATTCACAATCGATCAAATCTATCTTATTAATTAATCTCTGAGATTATGCAACATCACTAAGATTTTTTATTCTCATTACTTTTTTTTTTTTGGTTCCAATTTGTTAAAAAATCCACAATAGCTACATTCATCTATCTATCTATCCTTTATTAACAATCTCTCTCTCTCTCTCTCTCTCTCTCTCACTCACTCATGAGTTATTTGTGATTCATGTATTTTATTGTTTTCATTGTTTCTGCATTTTTGTTTTGTTTTTTTTTTTTTTTTGCCAACAATAAAAAAATATTTCATGCGAATCGTATCGTGGGAAAGTCCCAGATTAAAAGATTTTCCGTTAAATTTTCTATCTCGTTTAAAGTGTTACGCACACACACACACACACACACACACACACACACACACACACACTGGGGATTATTAAACGTGCGAAATCAGGTTGTACACGAGCGCGAGTGTGAGAAGGTGACGATGATATTAATAATAATAATAATAAATGAGTGTTTTTTTGTCGTTTCCACGAAACAAACGAACGCGCCCACGTTAATAATTATATGACAAATGACGATGATTACCTTTGATTAAAAATTTTTTTGTCAAGAAAACGACGAATTTATAATTGATAAAGAGAGAGAGTGAGAGAAAGAGAGAGAGTGAGAGAAAGAGAGAGAGTGAGAGAAAGAGAGAGAGTGAGTGAGTGATAAGGATTCGTATGGGACACTGATAAGAAAAAGAAAAATTTGTTGAGGTTGGTCAAAGACGAATCCATCGAACTTTCTCGATATATAAAAAACAAATTTAAATTTTTTTTACATTCGTGATTGAAAATCAATAATCAAATTCGTGATACGTCATCATTTCATTTCATTACGTCACGAGCCTTTTGTCGTACGATGACGTCATCAATTAATTTTTTTTTTTTGTTTTAGTCAAACAAAAAAAAAAAAAAAAAAAATTAATTCGAATGCGTAGGAAAAAAAAAAAAAAAACGTTTTTCTTATTTGCATTTAAAGCATTTTGTTGTCGTCATCAAGTCGTGGAAATCAAACAAACAAGGTCACCACCGACACCATCACCATCACCACTACCACCACCACCACCACTACTACCGGCGCCACCATCGCCACGTGGTGACGTTATGCAATTTTCTCAAACTAAAAAAAAGTTTTTTTGGCTAACAAACACAAATTTTCCTTTTCCGCCATTTTAAAAAATAAGAAATTGGACCGAGAAATTAAATTTTTTAAAATATTTTCTCTCTCTCTCTCTCTCTCTCCCTCTGTCCTCTCTTTCTCTCTCTTTTTCTCCCTCTTTCATTCTCTCTCTCTCTCTCTCTCTCTCACTTTCTCTCCAACATTTTCCACATCCATTAAACTGAAGAATCCAAGGTTTCCCTCTTCCCTCTTCTCTCCCTCCCTCCCTTCCATCCTATCCCTGTTTCTCTCTCCCCCGATTCCAGTTTTACAAACGCGAATGATTATTATCATCATCATTATTTACATTATCATAATAATTATTATTATTTTCTTTTTTTTTTTTTTCTTATAGATGATAAAAAAAAAATAGTGAATGAAAAAATAAAAAAAAGTGTTTTGTTGTAATAAAATTATCCATCGGAGTGATTTCGATATATCGTTTGTATCTGTCGCGCGAATCGTGATATCCGTAATAATAATAATAATAATAATAATTTTTTTGTCGGTGTTTGTATAAAAAATGAAAATGGTTAGAAATCAACGTTGCGTTAGAAGTCCTGTCGGGAAAATTTGTAAAATTTACTACTCTAATAAATATAAAAGTAGTAATTTTTAATTAGTTCAAGTTTGTCGTGGTTGTTGTCGCGGTTGTTGTTGTTGTTTTTTTTTTTTTTTTTTTTTCGTTTCTTTCGATTTTCTTTTTACCCAATTCTCAAAGTTTAAATTCGTATTATTATTATTATTATTATTATTTAAATTTTGTTTCATTCGAAAAAACCGGGAAAAAAAATCGTCAAGTTTCAAACATTCGAGAACAAACCAGGAATAAAAAAAGTTTTCATTTTCCGATTTGTTTTTAATTTGTGGTAAATCGATTAAAGGATTGTTTGTTGTTTGTTGTGATTTTTATTCGTTTGTTATCGCGCGATTGAATTGTTACGTTTTACGGATTATTTGAAAAAACAAAATAAAAAAGAAAGAAATTAAAGAATATACAAACAAAAAAAAAAAAGTGCGCGATTTTGGATAATTAGAAAGAGAAAAAGAAAGACAAACAAACAAACAAACAAACAAAGCGTAACTTTTTGTTAATAGTTGTTATAAGAATAATAATAATAATAATAGTAAAAATGGGCGAAAGAAAAATGAAAATAAGTTGTTCGATTTGGAACATGTTAAAAATATATAGAACGGAAAACGATTTGAAAAGGCCACGAGTCGGATGGAAAAAACCAGATCCTGGGAAAGGGGACTGACACAAGCTAAATATTATATTGATAAAAGAACCAGACTGATAAGAGAGAAAGAAAGAGAGAGAGAGAGAGAGAGAGAAAAGAGGAAGCGAAACGAAACAAACCGAAAAGAAAAAGAAAAAAAAACGAATCGAAAAAGGTTTAAGTGAAAAATTGATTGACTTCGTTTTATTTTCTACCTCCCCTCCACCTCCTCCTCCTCCTCTTCATCCCACACACACACTCTCGAGGAATTCAAAAGAAAAAGTAATAATAATAATTATACAAAAGGAGAAGCGAAAAGTGGAAAGATAGAAGAAAAAAAGAAAGAAGGAAGAAGGAAGAAAGGAAAAAAGGAAAGAGAAGCAGAAAAGAAGAAAGGAAGCAAAAGAAGAAAAGGGAAGAAAAATTTAAGGGAATCGCATTTTTAAAAAAAAGTTGACCTTTAACCTTTTACCTGTCGTGCCGCGTCATTGTTTCGCGAAAGGGGGTAAAAGAGTCGAGAACCAAGAAGGAAAGGAAAGGAAAAGGAAAAAGGAAAAAAAGGAAAAATGTCTGGAACTCCCAGTCATAAGATTTTATATTCCAGAACTAAACCCAGTTACTGTAGGGTATCGAACGAAATCAAAAGGTTCGACGATTACGACGAATGCGAGGGATACGTTAAGAATTACGGTGAGTGGACAAATTTTCCGGATGGGGAGCGAAGCGGGAGAGGGGGAAGTGAAAAGAAAAGGAAGAGAATAGGTTAGTTTGAAACGCGTGGGGGGTTAGGGAGGGATTAGAAGAAAAGAAAAAAAAAACAGGAGAGTGGAAATAAATAATACGCGGTTGCGAGGAAGAGAGAGAGAGAAAGAAAGCAGACGAAAAATGAAGAAACGTTTATCATTATTATCAATAATTAATTAAATAATCACGTGGTTGCCCAAAATAAAAAAAAAAGAATTTACGGGCAAATGATGTGAAGGTGAAATATTAATTAGACTGTGACTGACCGAATGAAAGAGAGAGAGAGAGAGAGAGAAAATGAATGAATCGATTGATCGATTGATCGAACGAACGATAGATCGAATTTAGATTTAGATTTTGACGTTATTGGGCGCCCGTTTGCCAACTTCAACGGAATTTGAATCAATTAAACCGTGACCGTGTTTTTTTTTTTATCGTTTCAATGCTGCTGTCGTCTCCTGTTTTTTTTTTCACAGTAAGTTTTCAGCAACAGCAGCAGTTTTTTTTAAATTTTCTTATCGTCACTTGTTCAGCAATATTATAAACGTTCTAGAAAAAAATTTATATTCGTTCGTCAGTCGGAAACGATCCTTGAATTATTATTTTTTTATTTTCGTCGACGCCATTTTTTTTTTTTTTGCTTTTTCTTACAAATATCGCGTCTCGCTGTCGTCGTCGCCAGACGACGGATAGTCAATCAATCAATCAAGTCAAGGGTTGTTATTTAAATTTCGTCGTCGTTCGTTTTCGGAAAAAAAAAAAAAAAAAAATTAACGGCGGCGGCGATCGTGGATTTCTAACAGCCTTGAAATCGATTGAATTTGATGACGTAATACGCTCGAAATCAGTGAATAATAATAATAATAATGATGATGATAATGATAATATAGAATAAATTTGAACTGATTTTTTTTTTTTATCGTTAGCGAAAAACGTGAAAAATATTTTTTAATATTTATTCCGGTCCCACGCGAGAAAAAAAAATGAACGATCCAAAGATCATAGAGTAATTAATTATTATTATTATTATTTTTTTTTTCGTTCGATAAATCGATGTATCGAAATCAGGTACGAATTTTATCGTTCTACCTCGCCTTTATTTATTCTCTCTCTCTCTCTCTCTCTCTCTCGACTCGGAAAATTTAAAAAAAAAAAAAACCAACGTTTTTCAAAAGCAAACCGAACGATTGCGAACGTTCTTTAAAAAACGGTTCGGGGAAAGTTGGGGGGAAAGAGAAAGAGCGAAAGAGAGAAAGAAAGAGAGAGAGAGAGAGAGAGAGAGAGAGAGAGAGAGAGAGAGAAAATTAATCGTTTTGCAAATGCGTCGTAAAAAAAATTTTTTTTTTTTTGTTTTTGTTTTTGTCTTTACGTATACGTAAGAAACATAAACAAGGCAAACAAACAAACAAACAAACAAACAAGTTTAAAATCCAACAAACAATCGTTAATCATATATATGTTTTGCGCGTAGAAAAAAAAAAAAAAGAAATATGTTAATCGTTTTCATGTTTTTTTTTTTTTTTTTTTTTGCCTATAAAGGAGAGGAGGAAAAAATAATAGCGGATAATGGATATGGCGGGATTTCGTTTTGTTTTCCAGGTACTCGTGCTCTATAAATAGAACTCATGGAAATATTTCCAGGAAAATCCTCGTTTCCACGATTATTTTTTTTTTTCTTTCTTTTCCACATTAATAAATCTTTTTTTTTTTGTTAATTTCAGGCACTGGAAAGAAACACGAGCAAAATGATAGGAAACAATTTAAATTGGGAGACGAAGACATGGTAATTGAACGTTCCCTTATCCCTCTCCCCCCGAACGATCGAACGTATAATAATAATAATTATTATTATTGTTTTTTCTCCCGGTAGGAAGTGCACGGGTATCGGAAACATTATTGCCTTTATTTCTTCACTTGGTTCATGATAATAATAACATGCGGAATATTAAGATTGATATTTCACTGGTGTCCTCATTGGATGCTGTTGGCCACTCACGTTCGTTGCGGATTGCATAGGGCCAGCACCGTTCTCATAGTGGTATGACTTTTTTTTTCCTTCCCGTTTGTTTTTCGTTTGTCTCCCGTAATCGTAATCGTTGGTTTTTTTTTTTTTTTTGTTTTGTTGGTACTCTCGCAGGACAAATACCACAAGCATAAGAATTATCACGTGAAAAAAGTCGTGGAACTCACGAAGAACACGATCAACGAATATGAGGAAAAAAATTTGGAAACCGACGTTCTCACCGAGGTTGTCAGCTATGAAGTCAAAAACAAAGCTTTACCTTTGCACGTCGGAAATGGAATATTCAAAGGTAAATTTTTTTTCTCTCTCTCTCTTCATCTCTCTTCATCTTTCTCTTTCTTTTCCAACATCCTCCGATTAATTTTGATTTTTTTTTGTTTTCTCTCTCGCTTTTTCTCCGTACGATCGACCTTTGACGATTAGATTGCGACACGATTCGCATGTTTCGTTGCAAAAAACTTTCTTATTACTGGGACGAAGGAAAAAAAATGTTCAGAAAACTCGATGGCCTCGATCGCGATGTCACCACTGCTGCCCTTCACAAGCAGTCCGGTCTAACCGCACAGGAACAATTTCTAAGGTGAGTCATAAAGGTCCGGCCTTTTTTTTTTTTTTCTTTTCGCTTGTTTGTTTGTTGTTGTCGTTGTTCCTCCATATAAAATTAACTTTGCTTTTGTTATTGTTGTTGTTGCAGGAGAATAGTTTATGGTAGAAATGAAATCGTGATACCCGCCAAAGGTATTTTCACGCTTTTGTGGTTTGAAGTCCTCAATCCGTTTTACATATTTCAAATATGTTCTTTCATACTCTGGTTCGTCGATGATTATTTCTACTATGCTATGGCTATACTATTGATGAGCGCGATGGGAATAATCGCGTCAATCATACAAACGAGAAAAGTAACTATTATTATTATTATCATTAATTTTCGGCGATCGAATAATAATAATTATTATTGATTTTTTCCTTCCTTCTTCCTTCGTCCCTCCTTTTTCCGCAAGAACCAAAGCAAACTTCGAAGCACCGTCCATAGCGTGGATGTTGTCAACGTCGTACGGGGAAATGGTAAAACGTGTACTATAACGACGGAGCAGTTGGTACCAGGAGATGTGATAATAATACCATCTCACGGATGCGTCATGCAATGCGATGCCGTCCTTTTAGCCGGTAACTGCATCGTCAACGAGGCCATGCTTACCGGTAAGCGCATGCGCGAATTCACGTCCGTACGAGTGACGTCATTCAAGGTTTTTAATTTTTTTTTTTTTTTTTTTCGGTTGATTGTTCAGGTGAATCCGTTCCGGTAACGAAAACGCCTCTCCCGAATTTCGATAGAATTCCCTACGATTCAAGAGAACATGCCAAACACACTCTTTTTTGCGGTACTCAAGTCATACAAACCAGGTACTATGGAGACGAAAACGTTTGCGCCGTCGTCATTCGTACCGGTTTTTATACTTCCAAGGGTAAAAATATTTTTCCATTTCCGTTTTCTCTCGGAAGTTTTTCTCTCTCACACGAAAGTTTTTATAATTTTTTTTCTCTTTCCTCTCCCCTTGCAGGTAGTTTGGTTCGATCCATCATGTATCCGCCACCCGTTGATTTTAAATTCGAACACGATTCTTATAAATTTGTAGCACTTTTAGCAGTTACGGCTTTTATCGGTTTCATTTACACTTCGATTACAAAGGTTGGTTGGTTGGTTGCGATTGCTTCGGAAACAATCGATCGATGTATCGATCGATCGGTAATCATCGTTTTTTTTTCTTTTTCTTCCAGTATTTAAGAGGTTTTTCGTTCGGTGAAATCACAGTCGAAGCATTGGATCTTATAACAATAGCCGTTCCTCCAGCACTTCCGGCCGCCATGACGGTCGGTCGAATGTATGCTCAAAGCAGGTTGCAGAAAAAGGGAATTTATTGCATCAGTCCGAGGAGCATAAACGTTTCCGGATCGATCGATTGCGTTTGTTTCGATAAGGTTCGATTCCTTCTACTTCCGATGAAATTTTTTAAATAATTTATTATCATTATTAATAGTACGTTTCGTTTCCTTTCCTTCAGACTGGCACACTGACCGAAGACGGTCTCGATATGTGGGGCGTAGTCCCGGTGAGTGAAAAAAAATGTCAAAATCCGGTGACGGATCCTAAAAATTTAGAAAGGAGTCACATTTTGTACGGAATGGTGACTTGTCACAGCCTCACAATCATAGATGGTAAATTATCCGGGGATCCGTTAGATTTAAAGGTGAGTCGACGTGAGAGAGAAAAAAAAAATCGATCCGTCGGTCGCTAAACCGGAAATGCATTCAAAGAAAAAATTTTTTTTTTTTCTTCATTTCAAGATGTTCGAAAGCACGGATTGGATTTTGGAAGAGCCCGACGTTAGCGACAACACGAAATTCGAAATCGTTCATCCGACCATCGTGAGACCAAAACAGGAACCGTCCATAATTTCTTCTCCTGAAATCGGAGACGACGGCTTCAGGGTGAGTTCACGCCCCGCCGACGGCGAGGAAAAATAATTAATAATGATAATAATACTCGATTTTTTTTCTTTTTCGTATCCAGACCGGAATCGAAATCGGTATAATACGTCAATTTCCGTTTTCGTCGAGTTTGCAAAGGATGAGCGTCATAACGAAAACGTTGGGAGAAAAAGATTTCGTAGTTTATTGTAAAGGATCACCGGAAATGATTCTCTCACTATCCAAACCTCAATCAGGTTAGCCAATCGTTTCCGTTTTTGTTTTTCTTTTGCTTGCTTCTTCCGTTTCCTTTTCGTTTCGTTTTTGAAAAATCAAACTTTATTTTTTTTATTTTCAGTTCCTTCAAATTTCAACACGGTTCTTCGGGAATACACCGAAGAGGGTTACAGGGTTCTTGCCATCGGTTACAGGCCTCTCGTTAAAATATCCTATGCCAAAGTTCAAAGGATTCAACGTGAAGACGTAGAACAAAATTTAACGTTGCTCGGATTGGTCGTTTTGGAAAATAAATTAAAACCCCAAACGACGGGAGTCATTACGGAATTAAGGGATGCCAACATACGTACTATAATTGTCACTGGTGAATTTTTTAAATTTTGTTTCTTTTACCCGTTTCTTTTTTTTCCTTTTTTTCTGACACTTTCTTCCTTTTTTTTTTTTTTGTCTTTTTTCAGGTGATAACATGATGACGGCTTTAAGCGTTGCACGTGATTGTGGTATAGTTCCGACGGGTCAAAGAGTTATTCTAGTACATTCCAGTCAAGCGAAAAAAAATGAAATTCCAGTATTACACTACACGAATAGTTATTGCGCTTTACCTTCTAGTGTGAGAATCTTTTCGTTTTTCGTTTGTTGCTTCGTTATAATTTATGTATATAAATATGTGATTTTGTGTTTGTCGTTTGTCGTTGTAGATTTCTTGTTGCGAGACTGCACCGAACGCTAACACCGATACATGCGTGGTCAGCATAAGCAGTTTAACGAGTGCGAGCGACATAACGGATTTAGGTTATTCGGCATCGACAGAACCGAGGTTTATATCACACACACGTTTTAAGAATTTCTATTGACACGTCACTGACACTTTTTTTTTTCCTTTGTCGTTTCTTCATATTTTGATATTTTTATTTTTCAGGGTCGCTGATTATTCTTTTGCAATCACCGGAAGTACTTGGTCGAACATTCAAACGTATTATCCGGATTTAGTACCTAAAATGTTGACTCGAGGAGCTGTTTTCGCTAGAATGAGTCCGGATCAGAAGCAATTGCTGGTCGAAGAGCTTCAAGGATTGGGATACTACGTTGGTGAGACGTCGTTTTCTCTCTTTCTCTCTGTCTCTCTTTTTCCCGAATCGAATCTTATTTTTTCTTTTACAGCCATGTGCGGTGACGGTGCGAACGATTGCGGAGCATTGAAAGCCGCCAACGCAGGCGTATCCCTTTCGGATGCGGAAAGTTCCGTCGCTTCTCCGTTCACGTCGAAACACGCCAACATATCTTGCATTCCCATGGTCATACGTGAGGGTCGAGCCGCGCTCATAACGAGTTTCGGAATATTCAAATACGTCGCGAGTTACAGTCTCATACAATTCATATCCGTTCTCATACTCTATTCCATCGACACGGATTTGACGGACATACAATTCCTTTACATAGATTTATTCATAATAACCATATTCGTGTTCTTCTTCGGTAAAACGGAAAGTTACGACGGACCCCTGTCGAAGAAGACGCCCCTTGCGAGTCTCATGTCTTTCTCGCCTATACTCAGTCTTTTCCTACAGATAACACTCGTCACGGTCATGCAAGTGGCCGCTTTTTACCACGTTCAACAGCAAGATTGGTACGTGAGTTTTATGGATTTGCACGGGGAAAAGACGACGACGGCGGCGGATGCGGCGGCGGCGACGGTTCGTGATCCTTCGGATTCGATTATCGTCGATAACTCGACGACGACGATGATGACGTCGACGGCGAATCTCGATTATCTCGGCGAAATGGGTTGCTACGAAAATTACGCCGTTTTCGGCGTGTCTTCCCTTCAATACATAATACTCGCAATTGTTTTTTCAAAGGGTAAACCCTACCGGAAATCACTTTTTGCCAATTACGGTTTGCTCGCGAGCATCGTTTTCGTGACGTCGTTCACCGTCTACCTCATACTCGATCCGGCTTCGTGGTTGATAAAATCATTCGAACTCATGGTTCCCCCGGATTACAAATTCAGGACCGTCATACTCATTTACGGCGCCGTTAATTTCGCCATATCTTGCTTCATCGAATACTTCATTGTGGATTACGTGGCGTTTAAAAAACTTCGATACAGGTTTCACAACATCGATAAATCGAAAAAGAAATATCTCGCAATCGAGAAAGAAATGAAACACGATTTGAGTTGGCCCGTCATATCGAAAGACGTCGTGGGGGATAAAATACCGGAAATGACTCCGCCGGAAGATGAGTCGCGGGTTCGCGAAAAGAATGAGGAACGCGATCAAAATCATCATCATCATCATCACGTCGGAGAGCCCAAAAAATTCGAACGTCCCAATTTCGAATTCGGGGATTTGCCGTCCATCACGGATTTCGGTAAAACGAAATTCAACAGGGTGAACGCGGGGGGTAGGATACGAAGGTATTCGGAAAATTCAAACAACAACGTGGGAAACGAATTTTTAAAAATGAGCGTTCCCAATTTATCATTGAACGGTTTCGCGGGTAACGAACGTTCGAAAGATAATTTGAGTTGACGTAACGTCGTCGTCAATTAGTGCATAGCTCACGTTTTTTTAATTGAACGTCAAGGTTTATTTTTTATTCACGATCGTGACGGGATAGTAATTAAAAAGAACAAACGAACGAATGGGATCCGAACGTTCGTAATGGATTCCGTGTCGTAAATTAAACGTTTGTGATGATGATGATGATGATGATGATGATGAAACATTTTTTAGGAGAAGGGGATTCGGGCCGAACAAAAACAAAATGGCGGTCTATGAAAATCACGATATGATTGCGATATATGTGATGTTAAAAAAAATTTTAACGTTCGTTCATACGTCAAAAACGCGCGTGCGGTAATAATAATAATAATAGTAATAATGATAAACGCAAACGTATATCAAAAAAAAAAAAATATTCATCGAAACGTATTATCAATATTATTATTATTATTAATTATTTTTACGGTCCGTAACTTAAACTTTTTAAGTGTAAAAAAAAAAAAAAAAAAAAAAATTACGTAATGATGATGATAATAATGATAATGAACGATTCGTGTCACAAAAAGAAAAGAAAAAAAAAATTCGGTCGAGTGATATGAAAATGAAATTTTTTTTTTACATTCACACTCGGCGGTGCCTTTTTTTTATATATATATATAAAAAGAAGAATATTTTTTAATTAGTTGTAATAATAATAATGATAATAATAATTTTTTCTTCCCCCCCCCCCCATTTTCCCCTCCTTCTCTCTCGTGATGCTTTCCCCACGCACGTTTAAAACGGCGAAAATCAATAATCAATAAATAAATCGATATAATCGATATAAGTTACGCGGGGAGGGGGGTGCATAGCGAATTGTAAATAAATCAATAAATCAATAAATGAATCGATAAATAAATT